ATGACCTATCTACTAGGATAAATACCTTGGGCACACATTGCTTGTTCAGACAGTCGTCACCATCTAAAGTACTGTCGGAAATGCAAGACAAATACTATAACAACAACAACAACAACAACAATACCGATAATAATAATAATGTTATCTTCATTATCAACAACAACAATAATACCGATAATAATAATAATGTTATCTTCATTATCAACCGATAACAAGTCAATTGCAGTCAATTGTAGATATGCATCTCAGATAATAACAAATTGATGCTGGATTTGTTTTGTCAACACTGCTCCCATGATGCGTGTTGCATAACACTTGCATAGCCATAGCCATGGTACACAACATCAAAAAAAAAACGTGACGTAAAAGGATATTAGACAGATTTGATACAGGGGTCATTAGGCATACAAGTGTACAAGCTTTATGAGCAGAAAGTACCCCCGGGTTGTAGTTGAATTCGGGATGAAATAAAAGACACAATTAATGTGTCCTGGATTACATTAAGTAATGTCCTCCACGAGAAGAGATTTTGATTCACTGCATGTGGCGATGACCGAGCAGTTTTGAGGAAAAAATATTCCCATCCTGTCTATGAGGTCACTTTACCTTTGCACCAGTCATGACATTCGCAGTCAGGGCTTCCTGGGTCCACCTGCACAAAGCAATCTTAGGGCTAAGACTATCATAAGCCTATGTTGAAGTATGGGAGTTACGATCATCTTAGCGCTAAGATCGCTTTGTGCAAGTGGGCTAAGGTCATTCCACAGACTACATGTTTCTACCATCAGATGGACGAAAAGCATCCATAGTACCATCAGGTGAAGGTAATCATGTCTTTGTTTTGCACGCCGGAACCTGTGATCTGGGACTTATAGATGGATGTGAGCTAGGTTTCAAGGCAATTGTCCTAAGAAAATCATGGTGATGTGTTCATAAACTGGTTGAAACATCAGCTACTGACCAATCTTCATTGTCAAGGATAATATAAGGGTAACGCTATTTTTCAGGGCATTATCATTTGGAGAAGCCCAGGGTCTTCCATTAACTGTTGAAAAGACCGAGGGCTTCTGCAAATGATAATGCCCTGAAAAATAGTGTTACCGTTATTGTAGCTAAAATAGATAGAATTTGTTATCAAATAAAAATAAACAACAATATCGGTTTTGAAACATTTACTGCAATCAACACATAAGGAATGTCACTGACCCACTTTTACAAATATGTAAACTTCACAGAACAAACGATATGACATCACTATTGAACATCAATATGATGTCACCTTAAAACAGGCGTGATAATGGCTCGTCGTCAAGCAATATGAGGGCATAATCAAGTTACAGTGACCCACTCAATTCTTATAACATGCGGGTTGTTTAATGATAACTCAAGCCATTTCAGCTACCGGGTATAATGCCTGTTATCACAAGGTTCAGGAACCAGATACTGTTGCGCCAACCATGAGTAGTCTGAAGGCAGACATGTAGGAATCCCTGACATCTTGCAATGTCTACTTCAGACCAAGTTCAACTCCACATTCAAAATGAGACATGTCAAGGGGTTAAACAACGGAGCCATAGCTGGAGGTATGGCACAAGGCTGAAGATCACAGTCTTGAAAAATAACGTCAGTACTGACAACATGATGGCGTAGATATCAGTCTTCATACCTTTTGGTGATAGTACAGATTCAGAGACGTCATCAGCTGAGTCAGATGCTGGCTTAAGAACTTTTTTGTAGAACAACACATACCGTATTCGACGTAATAAGCGCACAGGGCGCTCTCAAAATTTGAAAAAGGGGGCTCTTATTAGAATATTATTTTGGAGAAAAAAAACAGAGTTGAAAGACATATTTCGTGGTTTATGCTGACAGCCTGAAATGTTCATATACGACAGATATATTTTTCTGGAATTTACTTGTAAGGGTGCATATAACACACGAGTGCTTATTATACGCGAATAAATAAGTCTTTTGTACATTGACCAATCGGAAGGAGTGCTAACTGGGATTGATCACTAGCCAATATATTAGCAAATATTGCCGTGGGCGCTTATTAGAGCGGGGCGCTTATTATGTCGAATACGGTACTTCTTGATTAAAAAAACAAAACTTCCAATACTCATCCAGTCTCATAGCTTTTAAATATGCTTCTAAATTTTCAAAGCAAATACAATGTAGTACGTATCTCAATTGCTACCACCTGTCATAGCATATCTCAGTAAAGTACAACGACAACAATATTTCGAGACCACCCACAACTCAGGTGACATTTGTACCTGTGAGAATGCTTGGGCCCGTGTGAGGTCATAATCTTGGGACAGGAGACTTAGTTTATGCTATTTTCATAGACCTGTGATTCATATTTATTACATGAAGCCAGAAAGGCATTTTTCTAGCATTTCCAACAGTATACTTTCATAGGTTTGCCTCTGCCACTGAATTATTGATGCTCTCTGCAACTTCCAACAACTCATGGCTGAAGACACCAAGAATCTCCAGCAAATTTGGACCTGGGTAAGCAGGGCCCTCGTTTGGCACACTGGAAAAGTGACACTTTTTGGGGCACTTGCAATTCTTTTACTTCCCACATGATCAAAGGCACAACATGTCTATATGATAATAACATAGTTCCACTTTCTTTATCTACATCAAAGAGCAACAGCTAGGGCCAAATACTTCTTCATGTGAATAATTTAGGAAAATGCTTACTTAAACACTTATAAAATTAACCCTTTTGACAAATTTCAGCTCTGATTATTCGACAACGGGGTTGTGTGGTCAGGCTCCCTTACTTGTAATGATGCATGTGATCGTATCCCAATTGCATGGATTGATGCTCATATCAATAACTGGAGTATCTGGTCCAGACTTGGTTATTTACCGATGGACGTCATATAGCTGAGTGCGGCGTTAAACAACAAACAAACAAACATAGAAACAAACATACTTAGTATAAAGTCCAAAACATGGAAGTGTCAAAATGAACAAATGCTAATTCGTATGACAGATAGGATAACTTTCATTATGATTGGCTGAGTTTTCCTAGTTCCTCCAATTATTCAAATCTCTTGGGGCAAAATGTTTTCATCATATCTTGTCCTTTGAAGTATAAATGGTCAAAATAACTCACACATTGAAACAATATATCAGCACACTCATATGTCATTTTCACAATATTTCTTGACAAATTTAATATGAGGCTGTTGCTGCTGCTGCTGCTGCTGATGATGATTGTTATGTCATGTTGTGAATGTTGGATATCACAGGTCCAAAAAATGACAGATTATAAACTTTCAAAGATCACACCAGTTGATATGTTCAATATACAACATCATCAAGTTGCGAGCTCATGTTTGAATCTCAATATAGAACGACGTTTTATCGTGAAATAAACCACACTTCGTTCTTCATTGTTCTTTGTGAATTATCACATAGTTATCTTGTATTAAACTATAACCAGTGGTGCCCTTTGATATTCCTGAGTGCACTTGTGTGTTTGAATGTATCAGCAAACCCTATTTCTGCTGGTATCAATCATCAGATGTCCATGACAGCATCCACCAAGTGTTCTCATGGGAAGTCTACAGTTCCCTTAGAAGATAGCAATGCAGTGTTATCATTCAGAGCCACACACATGTTGTAGAAGATGACACTGATTACGCTTTTATCAGAATCAATATGTACCACTCAGACATGCTATACAAAGATATAGTGTCTAGTGAAGTCTGAGTCTGATAACTTGTTGGCTCACAGAATCCTGCGCAAGTACACCAACCGGCTTTCACGTGTGTATCGGAGTACTGCATCTGACATACTGCATGTTGCATGCTTTGACTGTGTCTCTTGTCCTTCACCCATGTGTGCAGGTATATATCATACCAGGCATCCTGTGTCTGTGTCTGGTACCTTGTGTCTGTGTCTGGCATCCTGTGTCTGTGCCTTGCATCCTGTGCCTGTGCCTGGCATCCCGTGTCTGTACTGTGTCTGCATCTGGCATCCTGTGTCTGTGTCTGGCATCCAGTGTCTGTGTCTGGTATCCTGAGTCTGTGCCTGGCATCTTGTGTCTGTGTCTGGGATCTTGTGTCTGTGTCTGGCATCTTGTGTCTGTGTCTGGCATCCAGTGTCTGTGCCTGGCATCCTGTGTCTGTCCCTGGCATCTTGTGTCTGTGCCTGGCATCTTGTGTCTGTGCCTGGCATCTTGTGTCTGTGCCTGGCATCATGTGTCTGTGCCTGGCATCTTGTGTCTGTCCCTGGCATCCTGTGTCTGTGCCTGGCATACTGTGTCTGTGCCTGGCATCCTGTGTCTGCATCTGGCATCCTGTGTCTGTGCCTGGCATCCTGTGTCTGCATCTGGCATCCTGTGTCTGTGCCTGGCATACTGTGTCTGTGCCTGGCATCCTGTGTCTGCATCTGGCATCCTGTGTCTGCATCTGGCATCCTGTGTCTGGCATCTTGTGTCTGTGTCGGGCATCTTGTGTCTGTGCCTAGTATCTTGTGTCTGTCCCCGGCATCCTGTGTCTGTGCCTGGCATACTGTGTCTGTCCCTGGCATCCTGAGTCTGTGCCTGGAATCTTGTGTCTGTGTCGGGCATCTTGTGTCTGTGCCTGGCATACTGTGTCTGTGCCTGGCATACTGTGTCTGCATCTGGCATCCTGTGTCTGTGCCTGGCATCTTGTGTCTGTGTCTTGTATCTTGTGTCTGTTTCTTGTATCTTGTGTCTGGTGTACTGAGACTGTGCCTTGTATCTTGTGTCTGTGTCTTGTATCTTGTGTCTGGTGTATTGAGATTGTGCTTTGTATCTCGTTTGTATCTTGAGTCACTCCCTTGTATCTTGAGTCTCTCCCTTGTATCTTGAGTCTCTCCCTTGTATCTTGAGTCTCTCCTTTGTATTTTGAGTCTCTCCCTTGTATTTTGAGTCTCTCTCTGTATCTTGAGTCTCTCCCTTGTATTTTGAGTCTCTCTCTGTATCTTGAGTCTCTCCCTTGTATCTTGAGTCACTCCCTTGTATCTTGAGTCTCTCCCTTGTATCTTGAGTCTCTCCCTTGTATCTTGAGTCTCTCCTTTGTATCTTGAGTCTCTCCTTGTATCTTGAGTCTGTTGCTTGTATCTTGAGTCTGTTGCTTGTATCTTGAGTCTGTTGCTTGTATCTTGTGTCTCTCCCTTGTATCTTGAGTCTCACCCTTGTATCTTGAGTCTCTACTTGTATCTTAAGTCTCTCCCTTGTATCTTGAGTCTCTCCCTTGTATATTAAGTCTCTCCTTGTATCTTGAGTCTTTTCCTTGTATCTGGAGTCTCTCCCTTGTATCTGGAGTCTCTCCCTTGTATCTGGAGTCTCTCCCTTGTATCTTTAATCTCTCCCTTGTATCTTGAGTCTCTCCCCTGTATCTTAAGTCTCTCCCTTGTATCTTGAGTCTCTCCCTTGTATCTTGAGTCTCTCCTTGTATCTTAAGTCTCTCCCTTGTATCTTAAGTCTCTCCTTGTATCTTAAGTATCTCCCTTGTATCTTGAGTCTCTCCTTGTATCTTGAGTCTATCCCTTGTATCTTAAGTCTCTCCCTTGTATCTGGAGTCTCTCCCTTGTATCTTGAGTCTCTCCCTTGTATCTTGAGTCTCTCCCTTGTATCTTAAGTCTCTCCTTGTATCTGGAGTCTCTCCCTTGTATCTTGAGTCTCTCCCTTGTATCTTGAGTCTCTCCCTTGTATCTTGAGTCTCTCCCTTGTATCTTGAGTCACTCCCTTGTATCTTGAGTCTCTCCCTTGTATCTTGAGTCTCTCCTTGTATTTTGAGTCTCTCCCTTGTATCTTGAGTCTCCCCGTGTATCTAGAGTCTCTCCTTGTATCTTGAGTCTGTCCCTTGTATCTTGAGTCTCTCCCTTGTATCTTGAGTCTCTCCCTTGTATCTTGAGTCTCTCCCTTGTATCTTAAGTCTCTCCCTTGTATCTTAAGTCTCTCCTTGTATCTTGAGTCTCTCCCTTGTATCTTGAGTCTCTCCCTTGTATCTTGAGTCACTCCTTTGTATCTTGAGTCTCTCCCCTGTATCTTAAGTCTCTCCTTGTATTTTGAGTCTCTCCCCTGTATCTTGAGTCTCTCCCTTGTATCTTGAGTCTCTACCCTGTATCTTAAGTCTCTCCCTTGTATCTTGAGTCTCTCCCCTGTATCTTGAGTCTCTCCCTTGTATCTTGAGTCTCTCCTTGTATCTTGAGTCTGTCCCTTGTATCTTGAGTCTCTCCCTTGTATCTTAAGTCTCTCCCTTGTATCTTAAGTCTCTCCTTGTATCTTAAGTCTCTCCTTTGTATCTTGAGTCTCTCCCCTGTATCTTAAGTCTCTCCCTTGTATCTTGAGTCTCTCCCTTGTATCTTGAGTCTCTCCCTTGTATCTTGAGTCACTCCCTTGTATCTTGAGTCTCTCCCTTGTATCTTGAGTCTCTCCTTGTATTTTGAGTCTCTCCCTTGTATCTTGAGTCTCCCCGTGTATCTAGAGTCTCTCCTTGTATCTTGAGTCTGTCCCTTGTATCTTGAGTCTCTCCCTTGTATCTTGAGTCTCTCCCTTGTATCTTGAGTCTCTCCCTTGTATCTTAAGTCTCTCCCTTGTATCTTAAGTCTCTCCTTGTATCTTGAGTCTCTCCCTTGTATCTTGAGTCTCTCCCTTGTATCTTGAGTCTCTCCCTTGTATCTTGAGTCTCTCCCTTGTATCTTGAGTCTCTCCCTTGTATCTTAAGTCTCTCCTTGTATCTTGAGTCTCTCCCTTGTATCTTGAGTCTCTCTCTGTATCTTGAGTCTCTCCCTTGTATCTTGAGTCTCTCCTTGTATCTTGAGTCTCTCCCTTGTATCTTGAGTCTCTCCCTTGTATCTTGAGTCTCTCCCTGCCATGTAGTGGTTAATGGTAACTCACAGTACCAGTGTGATCATTCAGAGTTCAGCATTGCCACAGGTATGTCAATTATGATGCAAGACACATAACCCGAGTACTTCAGTCCTGTGCATTGTTTCCAATGCAAATCCCATATTTTAACACAACATGCACTTGTAACAAACTTTGTCAAAGTGCTCAACTTGCTGGTACATTCACACCAGATAGGAGCAATGTTTATACGACATCATGAAGCATGTTCCATGGATTCCACAGCACTGTGTAAGGGTGTGAGGTATTACCGGTATATCGGTAAACTGAGGGTCATTCCGTCCACGGTACGTATCACAATATCATTTTTTCATGTGTGATATATCAGGTGATTTCAAATTGGGATTTTTATCATGTCTCTAATGTTATATACTTGTCAAATGCATCCGGGCATCAAGATGGCTGTGTATTTAGTGAATGAGTAAACATTATGTTGTACCAGCATCTTGTTTGAACTTCAGTTCATACCTCAATGTATCAGATTGCTTCTGAATGATAAAAAAAGAATTATACAATATATCATGATATGTGATACGCCTTGTGCATTGCAAAAAAAAGTGGTGCCCTTTTAACATCCAATACCCATCCCTAGCATTGTGTGACTTCTTCCTTACTGTACTAGATTGGCCTGACTGGAACATGGTACTGGTGTCATGAGCTTTGTTACAAAGCTTCGAAGTCGATACGCCGACATGCAAGGCTGCATGACTGGCTCTCTACCCAAGAATCTGTTAATTGACATACCGTATTCGACGTAATAAGCGCCCAGTGCGCTCTCAAAGTTAGAAATAGGGGGCTCTTATTAGAATATTATTTTAGTGAAAAAAAACCAGTTGAAATTCTTAAATTTCGTGCTGACAGCCTGAAATGGTTACATATGACAGATATATTTTTCCAGAATTCAATTGCCCATAATTAAGGGTGCATATAAGACACGGGTGCGTATTATATACCAATAAATAAGTCTTGTGTATATTGATCAATCGGAAGGGGTGCAAATATCGCCGTAGGCTCTTATTGGAGCGGGGTGCATATTACGTTGAATACGGTATTAATAATTGTTTCAATTGTTTTACAAATCTCTTATTCATCAATAAAGAAATTGACAACGCTTTTTAAGAATTTGATCCAGCAATATTTTGTTGAATACCTATTGATTCAGCCCACAAAACAAGCGACAGTTGATGACAGTTCAGTGGTCCTAGAATCATCGGGGACTGATCATTTGTTTCAAGACAAGTTGTCTTTGATCCATCAGCTTCTTGAAAATGACCCCACCTTTGTGTCACTGTTGGCTTGAAGGTCCTGAACATATAACAAAACACTGTGTCGGCCATGTATGTTCCGTGTCTGCCATCTTGTCTCCCTCTGTTGTCACTTTCAGTTCTGGTCTGAATCTCACCTGAAATGATAACAGAAAGGAATTCATGACTCACGAAGAAAAAAAATAGTATTGAGGTCCTAAATTCCCTATGGAATATCATTCTTCATGAGTGTCAGAAATTGTTTTCTATTGTTTAGTTCAATTTGGTCCATAATTTAATTAAATGAGTGGACTGCGTTTTTGTCACAGTGCATGCCTACCTACACTAAGTCAACTCACAAATTGTGAACTTTAAAACATTGCTTTCTCACACTGTGAGTGAGTGAGTGAGTGAGTGAGTGAGTGAGTTGGGTTTAATGCCACTTTTAACAGTATTCCCGTTTTATCATGGCATGTTTGCATAATGTGGGAGGAAAGCCCGAAGTGATGCAGGTCTCAGACAATTTTTACTTTGGAGAAACCCACGAGCATGAGTATGGTGTCACCTCCCAATGCAGGGGAACTGACTATAAAAGTCCAGTTTCCACCCTTGCCAAACTAGGCTGGTATTATGGAGTTGGCTGGACTAACAAGCCTATGCATAGTCCAATCAAAATCGCACAACAAAATCGAAAACAATAGTGCAGATTTCGGTCGATTGCAGGATTTACAAAGCATGTGCACCGCCAACTCATTGTCAACAGATACTTTTCAAATCTTTTAATGTTTTTAATCAAGGTGCTCGAATGATTTCATGCACTTCCGGGTGTAAGACCCGTTTAATTACAATATAGATCTTGATTATCAATCAGATAGTCTAGAATTGGAACCGCCAGTTAGTTTGAAGCAAATGCAAGTTACGAGAGGTGAAATCTGATTGGTCCATAGGAGAGGCATAGAAGGGACATAATTCGTTAAAGCCATTAGTGGCGCTACGATAAAACCCGGGAATTCCAGCCTGGTTAGGCAAGGGTGGAAACTGGACTTTTACAGTCAGTTGACTCCCTTTGCCTCGGGAAGTTGGTATGGTGCTGAAAAACAAAACCAAGAAACAATTGGGGGAAACCAAGACTTGAACCCACAATAATAGGTTTCAGGAGTGCCCAAGGTATGAAACTCAGCACAGAGAATTGTGGCACCTGAGACGACTGGGCCACCTGTGCTCCGCTGTGAAGGGGAAGAAAGTAAGATTCTGTAGCTAATATGAATGTCAACAGGGAGAGAAATAGACCTCGTCTGTAACGAGAGTGACAATTTCTTATCATTAGGAAAAGACACAGCTGTCATCATTTTGGAGAGACACAGCTCTGTTCATTGGGGAGAGACACAACTGTCATCATTTTGGAGTGACACAGCTCTGGTCATTAGGGAGAGACACAACTGTGATCATTTTGGAGAGACACAACCCTTGTCATTAGTGAGACATAGCTCTGGTCTGTAAGGAGAGACACAGCTGTCATCATTTTGGAGAGACACAGCTCTGTTCATTAGGGAGAAACACAACTGTCATCATTTTGGAGAGACACAACTCTGGTCATTAGGGAGAGACACAGCTCTGGTCATTAGGAAGAGACACAGCTCTGGTCATTAGGGAGAGACACAACTGTCTTCATTTTGGAGAGACACAGCTCTGGTCATTAGGGAGAGACACAACTGTCTTCATTTTGGAGAGACACAGCTCTGGTCATTAGGGAGAAACACAACTGTCATCATTTTTGAGAGACACAGCTCTGGTCATTAGGGAGACATAGCTCTGGTCTGTAAGGAGAGACAGCTCTGGTCCGTAAGGAGAGACACAACTGTCATCATTTTGGAGAGACACATCCCTTGTCATTGGAGAGACACAGCTCTCTTCATTAGTGAAAGATAAGTCTTATCAGGGACACAACTATCATCATTGGGGAGCAACACATCTTGATTTGCATAAGTCTTACAAGATTCATTTAGAAACAGATTCACACAATTTATTTAAACCCGTCAGCCTGTATGTTGACCTTGGTACAGCTGTCTCTCTCAGAGGGGGTGGGGAGTTGAGAATAACATTCTTATTAAATATTCCACAACCAACAAAAGGACACTGCTTCACAATGGCAGTGCTGTAAAGGAGGTATTGATGTAGGCAGATAAGTCAACTGCATAGGTATGTTATGAAAGGAGGGGTATACAGTATTGATCAGCGTGACAAATACCTCTACTTATTGACTGTGTACTGCTGCGACTGTGGTCAACAGCTGGGGGGAGATTGCATAACGCTAACACGGCAGCTGTTGCTAAAAAGGTGCAAACACATCACTGTATTATTGAAACACACTGTTATTCATAGAAAAATATTATAGGATGAATAATTTCCAATTACTGAGTCTTGATATTAGAATCTCCCAACCTAGTCTTTTGAGTCTCCTATCTCAACCTATCACTGTGGATATTGAGTCTCCTCTCTGTGTCATGGTGGCTATTGAGTCTCCTATCTGTGTCACGGTGGCTATTGAGTCTCAGATCTGTCATGGTGGCTATTGAGTCTCCTATCCAAGTCATGGTGGCTATTGAGTCTCTAATCCAAGTCATGGTAGCTATTGAGTCTCCTATCCAAGTCATGGTAGCTATTGAGTCTCCTATCCAAGTCATGGTAGCTATTGAGTCTCCTATCCAAGTCATGGTAGCTATTGAGTCTCCCCCCTGTCATGGTGGCTATTGAGTCTCCTATCTGTCATGGTGGCTATTGAGTCTCCTATCCAAGTCATGGTGGCTATTGAGTCTCCTATCCAAGTCATGGTGGCTATTGAGTCTCCTATCCAAGTCATGGTGGCTATTGAGTCTCCTATCCAAGTCATGGTGGCTATTGAGTCTCCTATCCAAGTCATGGTGGCTATTGAGTCTCCTATCCAAGTCATGGTGGCCAATGAGTCTCCTATCCAAGTCATGGTGGCTATTGAGTCTCCTATCCAAGTCATGGTGGCCAATGAGTCTCCTATCCAAGTCATGGTGGCTATTGAGTCTCCTATCCAAGTCATGGTAGCTATTGAGTCTCCTATCTGTCAAGGTGGCTATTGAGTCTCCTATCCAAGTCATGGTGGCTATTGAGTCTCCTATCCAAGTCATGGTAGCTATTGAGTCTCTAATCCAAGTCATGGTGGCTATTGAGTCTCCTATCCAAGTCATGGTAGCTATTGAGTCTCCTATCCAAGTCATGGTAGCTATTGAGTCTCCTATCCAAGTCATGGTGGCTATTGAGTCTTCTATCCAAGTCATGGTGGCTATTGAGTCTCCTATCCAAGTCATGGTGGCCAATGAGTCTCCTATCCAAGTCATGGTGGCTATTGAGTCTCCTATCCAAGTCATGGTGGCTATTGAGTCTCCTATCCAAGTCATGGTGGCTATTGAGTCTCCTATCCAAGTCATGGTGGCCAATGAGTCTCCTATCCAAGTCATGGTGGCTATTGAGTCTCATATCCAAGTCATGGTGGCTATTGAGTCTCCTATCCAAGTCATGGTAGCTATTGAGTCTCTAATCCAAGTCATGGTGGCTATTGAGTCTCCTATCCAAGTCATGGTAGCTATTGAGTCTCCTATCCAAGTCATAGTAGCTATTGAGTCTCCTATCCAAGTCATGGTGGCTATTGAGTCTTCTATCCAAGTCATGGTGGCTATTGAGTCTCCTATCCAAGTCATGGTGGCTATTGAGTCTCCTATCCAAGTCATGGTGGCTATTGAGTCTCCTATCCAAGTCATGGTAGCTATTGAGTCTCCTATCCAAGTCATGGTGGCTATTGAGTCTCTAATCCAAGTCATGGTGGCTATTGAGTCTCCTATCCAAGTCATGGTAGCTATTGAGTCTCCTATCCAAGTCATGGTAGCTATTGAGTCTCCTATCCAAGTCATGGTGGCTATTGAGTCTTCTATCCAAGTCATGGTGGCTATTGAGTCTCCTATCCAAGTCATGGTGGCCAATGAGTCTCCTATCCAAGTCATGGTGGCTATTGAGTCTCCTATCCAAGTCATGGTGGCTATTGAGTCTCCTATCCAAGTCATGGTGGCTATTGAGTCTCCTATCCAAGTCATGGTGGCCAATGAGTCTCCTATCCAAGTCATGGTGGCTATTGAGTCTCATATCCAAGTCATGGTGGCTATTGAGTCTCCTATCCAAGTCATGGTAGCTATTGAGTCTCTAATCCAAGTCATGGTGGCTATTGAGTCTCCTATCCAAGTCATGGTAGCTATTGAGTCTCCTATCCAAGTCATAGTAGCTATTGAGTCTCCTATCCAAGTCATGGTGGCTATTGAGTCTTCTATCCAAGTCATGGTGGCTATTGAGTCTCCTATCCAAGTCATGGTGGCTATTGAGTCTCCTATCCAAGTCATGGTGGCTATTGAGTCTCCTATCCAAGTCATGGTAGCTATTGAGTCTCCTATCCAAGTCATGGTGGCTATTGAGTCTCATATCCAAGTCATGGTGGCTATTGAGTCTCCTATCCAAGTCATGGTAGCTATTGAGTCTCTAATCCAAGTCATGGTGGCTATTGAGTCTCCTATCCAAGTCATGGTAGCTATTGAGTCTCCTATCCAAGTCATAGTAGCTATTGAGTCTCCTATCCAAGTCATGGTGGCTATTGAGTCTTCTATCCAAGTCATGGTGGCTATTGAGTCTCCTATCCAAGTCATGGTGGCTATTGAGTCTCCTATCCAAGTCATGGTGGCTATTGAGTCTCCTATCCAAGTCATGGTAGCTATTGAGTCTCCTATCCAAGTCATGGTGGCTATTGAGTCTTCTATCCATGTCATGGTGGCTATTGAGTCTCCTATCCAAGTCATGGTGGCTATTGAGTCTCTAATCCAAGTCATGGTGGCTATTTGGGTCTCCTATCCGTCATGGTGGCTATTGAGTCTCCTATCTGTCATGGTGGCTATTGAGTCTCCCTTCCAAATCAATCATGATGGCTATAGGATCACACACAGCTGCTATCTCATCATGTACAAACAAGTGAATGAGTAATAAAAATGAACAGGGTCAACATCTGTTTTCTTTCACAGGTTATCGTGGTTAATTTAAGTTGTTCATGAATAAATCCACATGCCTACAGCATTCAACATTTCTAGTACAT